AGTCCATCAAATGAATTTTTTTTTAGTATGGCTTCATGTTGTTTGTTACTCATTGGCTGCCAATTCCTAAAGTATTTCAGTAGGTGTAGCTTGCAATTTTGTATGGCCTTTCTGGAGGACTAGCGTGCAGAAAAGCATACATGCCCTTTGGCTGTGCACATAGGGTTTTATTTGAATTTTCTTGGATGATTTATGAAGAAGTTTACAATTGTTGAACTGACATAAATTTGAGAGTCATATGAAGTGATCGCCATTCGCCTACTTGTACTTTTGATTGCCTCCATTAGCACATTCTTGTGTGCATAATTTTCAATCGGTCACGTTTAGCTGCATTTAAGTTGTAACATTCAGAATCCTTTAGCTTTTAAAATCCTTGCACCTTCTTGCCTCTTCTATATTATGTTTTGGTTTGCTAGATCCCATCTTCTTGCCCATGTTTTGTGTTCTGGTGGAATATTATGCAAAAATAGAATATACCCTTCAGTTGTGCATATATGATTTTAGTTGAAGTGTGCAGTTTACTACTTTACTTATCTACTTCTATCAATGTCTTAGTTGATCTATAATTAGGTTTACATGTACTAGACTGACTTAAAACTGAGAGTCACGTGAAGTGGTGGCCATCTGCTTGCACGCGCTTTTGATTGCTTCTATTAAGAACTTCTTTATGTGTGCAATCTTTGTTCTATAATTCTCCATGAGTTTCAATCATATAACATGCATACAACTTTGCCCATAAGAAGGGATTTCTTTCTAGTTTCTTCTTGGGTTTCTGTTTTTATCCGCCCACAGTTTGAGTGGTTAGTTCAAGTATGCTCCTTTGTATGTTCTTCAATTTCAGCAAAACCTAAGTATAAGGCATTGTCGTACGTACTCCCACTTGTTTCTCTGATTCTTGATCATTGAGTAAGATCTGAGACCTTTATTTTGGTTAAGTCTGATAGAAAAAGAAACAAAATTATTTTGAGACATGAGAACTTGATGTTCTAGGCCCCAACATTATCAAGGAGTGCAAGTAATTTTTCTTAATAGTCTTATAAAGTTCTCCTGTCCATGTTACTTTATAGTTTACACATTTGATCTCATTATCTGATAGTTATTTTTCCACTATTAGTGAAGTTATGAGGCACAACTCCAGTAGTCCTTCTCTTCATCCAGTCGGTTGGTTAAATAAGAAGTCCATCCCTTACAAGTTCCATTGTGCATATCTTCCTTGCAACTCAATAGATTTGTTCCACCTACAGGTGTGAGAAAATTATCTTATAACCAGAAGCCTTTAATGTTAATTTGGTTTCAGCTGCTAGGAACACCAGATCCTTCATTTCTCAGTATTAAAGGTGTCACCGTAAAACTTAGGAAACTTACTTCAAGTCCATTGACAATATGATGTAGTTGTTAAACTTCTCACCAAGTACAATCTAGGGATAGTTACTAAGACAATAAAAGATCTTAAATGTGATTTAACAGAAGTAATTGAACACAATTTTAATGATTGTCGAGAAAATATGCGCCTAGACACTGATTAATGTTGCACCCTCCATTAGCTAATATTGATTGATATGCTTTAGTTATCTACCTAGCACAATAGAATTTATTTCTGTTTGACTTTCAATTAAGTGATTCCAATTGTAGCAGGTTCATGGTTGGAATGATTATGCCATTATTCAAGTTTTCTTTCTACTTGAGGTGGAGTTGCAACACAGCCTCCTTCATGCTAGGCATGTGCGTTTCTCATCCCTAGGGAATTCACCTCCTATCTTCGAATCTGAGCTTCCTAAAACCTGGACATCCCTTTATATTTGTTGCATAACAAAGCAGGGCGATCCCTTCCCTAACAACTGGATGAATGCATGTTTTTCTACTTAGGCTGTTTTTGGAGTCTGATATGATCTTCGTATCTTGCAAGTTTCACTTGGTTAAAATAATTAGCCAAAGCAATAGTCTAAACTTGTTTCTTTCTTTGATTTTGTTCCTCATTTAAGCACAATATTTTAGCTGAAGCAGGAGTGAGTATAGGACTCATGTTTGCCTTGTATCCATTAGATAAATAGAGGTTATGTGAATTGGCTCGAGGCCATTCTTTTAGCCTGAGCAACTTGGTGGCCACCACACACTAACGCACTCAAGCAAATGGAAAAGCAAGACAAATGCATTGTTAGATGCAACCACTTCTCAGTTGCAGGGGCTCTGTTCACAGATTTGCCACTTATCTGTACAATAAAATGGATTGGTAGTGGTACAAGTTGCTTCTGAGTATAAATACACAGTATTCTCCATGGGCATAGTAGTTCATTGTTTTGATTGATATACATTCAACTGTTGAAATTGAATTAAATGTGCTTTTTTTTTTTGTGGATTGTGTAATACCAATAATTTCAGCCACTAGTCTATGATATGAACTTCAAATTGCAGTGTCTCTAGCTTTAGATCAAGTCTTGTGCATTGAAAATCTTATAAGGGGCATTCATTGCCTTGTTCATTGGTTCTTGCTATGTGATAACGACTTATGCTCCAACACTAAATCAAGACAATTTGGGGTTCTATAAATTGTCATGACAATCTGGCTAATGGTTTTCCCTCAGGCTGGAAATAAATATATCATACAAATCGAAGGCCACTGAAGTTTGGTTTGAAAGACAAAACTGTTTTTTGCTTCTCCCATCATTTTCTATCTTTTTAATAGCTATAAATTATTGAGAGATAAGGTTTTATTAAGCAGACTTGCAGTGGTTGATAATTGAAGAGAGACGCATGATAAACCAAGTTCTGGAAATCATATAGCGTGCCATGATTGTTTATTTATCCCTAGCAAAACTAGAACTCTTTGCCAACAGTGCTCAGTACAGGAACACTTTTCTTCCAAAGCATACATAGAAGCTTTCAGGCAATATTATCTCATTTTGGTAATAATACATGCTAAAATTATAGAGCATATTCAAACAAGATTAGCTTAATTTTGGCCAAAATAGCTACATACTAGATAATACTGGAATCAAAATACCTCACACATTCACTTTCACTAGTCCCTCTACTTTTTTCAGTAGGCATCAGGGTGAGGATCCAACATTCATAGAATTTCATATCTCTTTTGTCCCCATCAAGGATACACCCCTAACATCTCTTTAAACCTGTCATAATTTATTGCTTCCTAGGGAATTCACAGTTGGTCTACTTTGTGTTGAGTAAAAAGTACCTGCACCCCTAACATCTCCTTAAACCTGTCATAATTTACCTGCACTTTCATGTCTCTCAGTGTAGTCAGGTCAACATTGTGTCTTTCTGAGAGGCGAGACTTTCACCCATTCGCATTTATCCCTCAAAGATTAAAGACTGATTAAAAGTCTTTGAATTTCATAACTAAATTTGTCATAATTAAGTGTTTGAGCTATGATGGAGCCACTCTGACCCTAATTATCTGTTTGCTTAGATTCAAAAGAATGGTGAAGCCTCGAATTCGGTGTTGAGGTTCTATTATCCTTTTTTTTTCATAGATGATAAATCAAGCATTGTTCATTATACAAGAATACCTAATTCTCAATGTTGCATCAAAATTTGGATTCCTAAGAATAACTAACTTCTACGACTAATTTTTGAATAAATGTAGTTCAAGATCGTGGTATCAGTCATCAACTCACAGGGCAATGAGAAGCATTATTAGTTATGGCACAAAATTTTTTCGTACCATACTCTCGAAATGTTACATAGAAGAAGAAGTTGAAGATGACAAAAGATTGAGGTCGTATCAAAGCATTCCATTATAATTGTATCAACCAATTGTACGGCCATTGGAAGATCTACTTAATGGCCAAGGAGACCCTGATCTAGCCACATTATTTTCAGTTTTTTCAAGTATATATACAAATATATTTGTGAAACATTATCAACATCTATTGTATTGTGCCAACCTTATTACGTACATACTTTAATTATATTTTTCTGTTAAAATAATTTTATGATAGGTCAATAGACATGTGTAATCATTTTTATTTTATTAAAAATCTTTTCAATTAGTTTTGATTTGCATATTTATGAATTTTTTTGTTCTATGTTGGCTAACAATTTTGGCAACTAGTGAAGCATCCTGACTCTAATTATGGCCATTTATCAGTCAAGAGTGCTTACCATTTGATTATGATCGTGGTCTTAATGGCAGTAAACAAGTAGATAGTGTACCTAGTAATAACAATGAGAGATGGTGTGGCAATTTCATTTGGTAATTGAGAATCCCCAATAAAATTAAAATTTTTGTTTGGAGATTATTTAAAGATGTTGTGCCGACCCAGTGTAATCTTCCTCGAAGGCCACTTCCTATTGATACTCGATCTGCATGTTTACGTTGTGAGGCTCCAACTGAATCTTCTTGGAATGTCCTGTTACTTTGGCAGTATGGAGAATCTTCATGGGATGAAGTTGATTGACACTAGGTATTTATGTTGGAATCAAATTCTATAGTTCATGAATTATAGATAGATGGACTAAGTGTCTCCATTGGGTACAACTTTGTGAAATCTTGGCACTATATTTCGTGAACATAGACTTTCTTATTAAGCCGAACCATCTAAATTTGTGTGTTTTGTTTTTCTATTCCGTTTCGAGTTATTTTGTTTGTGTTCATAGTAAATCTAGGAAGGGAAAATATGTGGATCGATTATCATTTCCACCCTTCAGAGAGAGACTTGATGCTTTATCTTTCCTTGAAGGTATTGGGACGTCGATTGCCATGTGAAAGTGTCATGAACAAGTGTGATGTATATGGTGACATTGAGCCGATGAGTCTATTTCAAACAAGATCAGAAGAGAGAGTTGTTTATGTGTTTACAAAGTTGAAGAAGATGAGCAGCCAGCGGATTAAACGCACGGTGGCAACGGGAAAGTGTAAGTGAAGGGTTTCTGATAAGGCAAGTCCTGTATTGGATCCATAGAAGAAGAATACTATAATTGAATGGAAGAGAAACTTTGTTTACAAGATCACAAAGACTAGGGCCAAACTCGGATACAACATGACTGAGTATAGCCTTCCCGACTCTACATTGAACAGTGGAAGAGTTTTGTTCAAAGACTATGTTCTTTGCCACATCAAGAAGAAGAAACCACCACAAACCAATCACTCACAATCACGGGACAGCTTTCAAGAACTAATAGAGGGTGACTTGTTAACCATGTTAGCTGAAGATCATTATCATTTTGAAGCAGCTCTGTCGCCACCATACGAGCAGATTGCATTGGGTGTCCCTGTTGCCCAGTTTGAAGGATATCCATATCAACAACACATGAGCATGGTAGTTACCCCTGATTTTGGTGCATTATATTCTGGACGAGACGGGTCTGCAGAATTTAAGTGCCAAATAGTATCATGGCTGCCTTAGTAGAAGATGATAGTGAAGCTATTCCCCAGCAAGCAATCAACAATGAGCCGAGCCTTTCGGTGGCCCAACTTGAAGGATATCAGTATGAGGAATACATGAGCCGTAATAATAACATGGGGACAACACTAGTTGTGCAATGTGGATCCATCGTAGTTGCATCAGTGGCACCCCCAATCAAGTGCTGGTGCTTTATATTATGGTGGAAGAACCGGATTTGAATGTCAAATACAAAGTAAAGTCATGCCTTGTGCAACAAAGTCTCCAATATCAGAAGAATGTTGCTTGCCTGCTCTGGAACCTATTTATGACGAATAACACAAATGGGATAGTATCTCCCTAGCTGAGCTGCTGAATGTTGATCAAGAAGAGTTGCCGAATGGTGATCAAGAATAGGGTTTACAAGAGAGTGTGATTTCCATGATACCGAACCCATAGGGTGTCTAGAATCTAACTAACTGTGGATATTAGGATTTATGATGATCGTTGCCTTGTTTTTATGTTAGGGACAATTAGTATACTTTTCAGAATGTACATTTACTCATTGGCCACATCAATGGGACCTTTGGGAGGGGGTACAGTATTTTGCTTAGAAGCTGAAAAGATAATCGCAAAAGCCTTTACAAGGAAGTGAGATTCCCATGATCCCTAACACAAGGGGTGTTCAAAATCTGATTGACTGTGGATATTAGAATTTATGATTATAGTTATGTACTATGTACACAGTAGGGATAATAACTCTGCAATAGATTTAAAGCAAGTGTTTTGTTTCAAATGGTGGTTCAATTTTTCTTATTGTGAGATAATTTTACACATTTGAAGTGGTGGATTTTTCATATGAGCTCAATGGTTATGTTTCATGGATTCTGTTTTGTTTTTGCAATTCCATTATAGCTCTTTGTAGTTAGAGGTAGCTGCTCAGGTCATAGGCAACCAATTCATAAATCAAGTATTTTTAGCAGGTGTTGCCCACAATTTTAGATGGTGAATATTCTTTATTTTCCTCTTTCTCTTTTGTGAAATTCTGACTTAAACATAGGTAGTCCTGTATTTTGAATCTCCATTCTCTTCAGTCTTGTTATTGAGATTGAATCTCTTTGTGATGTGGCACTTGATGTGCTCGTCAGCATTATGCAAAAGTGTATTTGCCCTTTGGTTTGGTTGCACACGTGGTCGAAGTGTGCTATTTAATTATTTGCTTCTATCAATTGTCTTAGCTGATTTATACACAAGTTTGCTCATAATGGTGGATTTCTTTCTGGTTTTCTTCTTGTGTTTGTGTTTTTGATGCTCCCACAATTTAGGTTAGCTAACCAAAGATATGCATGCTCCTATGATTCTTCAATTCTAGCTTTAATGGCAGATTTTGCATCTTGCTTTTTTGCGATGATTATGTATATCTTGCTTGCAACTTAACAGATTTCATCGCGTAGTTATTGTTATTGTTGGTTTCAGCTGACTGAGAAAATCAAATCCTTCTCACGATGGCATTATAAAACTTGGAGAAACATAATTTAGGTCCATTGACACTATGTTTCAGAGGTTAAACTTGCAAACCTGCAACAAGTACAAACCAAGATAGATAATAGAAAAAAAATAATAAAAGCTAGCTAATATGATCTAAAAGAACTAGTTGAATTACAATTCTAATGATGGTCCAGAAAATTTGCACTTGGACTCTTGACTGATACCGCACCCTCCATCATCCAACATTTGAGAAAGACATCTAATACTCAGTCATCAGCATACTTCTTGTTTATGTTCTAATCTGCATCCAATGTTTGTTTCTGTTCCGATTTCAAATAAGCCATTCCAATTGCAGGAGGGTTCACAGTTGGCCTGGTTATGTTTCTTGGTGTAGTTGAAATGATCTTTTTTCTTGGTGCCATCTCGAGCCTTCTTCCTACTTCAATGTGGAGATGCAACACAGGTGGGCTGTTTCGTGTCTGATGAGTAACTGTTGAAATCCCTCTCTCATTTTAAGTATCTCAATAGAGATAGTCCTATCTAAGAAGCCAAACCAACAGTATAAAACCTGGACTTCTTTGTATGTGTCCAAACCAACTATCTGACCATACTATAGCCTGGTTTTAGCTATCGCCTTTTTTAGATTATGATAAAGCTTTCTGCTTTGCAAGTTTCAATTTGCTAAAATCAATTAGGCAAACCAATGGACTGAATGTGTTTCTCTCCTCAATATAGGATTCAGGTTTGGAACTATAGGGCCTGGTTTCTGTTAGGTAGTTTTTATGCAAATTAACTTGATGTCATTGTTTCAGCTACAGAAAAGTGGTGACCAGCTCAAATTAATTAAAGTGCTCAAGCAATGAAAATCAAGACAGAGACATTCTTAGGCTATGTAAGCAGCTTCGCCATTGATTTATAAAAATCAGTTGGATTGGAGGTGTTAAAATTTGCATTAATCTCCCTTGTTGCTGGCTTCAGCTATTAATGTTATTGCTTGACCTCTATTGAAATAGCAGTTCATTGATAAGTTTGATATACACCAGGTGAGAATTAATTCAAAGATTTTTGGTTGAGTGAGTATAATATCAATGAATCTAGTTCAAAGAGGTCATTCATTTCAACATGTACTTTATTTTTGTTCAATAGGAAATCAATTAAGGCTCAGAATTTCATACACCGGCAAGTTGTCTTGCTCAAGTAAATATAATATTGCAGCAAAACTATAGGGTCATTCATACCACATTAACCTGAAAAAATCTCAGCTTAACACCCATATCACTACAAGTGTTTTAATTTTGGATGATCGCGTTTGAAACCAGATGACTAATTATGAATCGACTAAAGATATATACCATGGCGCACATATTTATGTGCATAAAAATTTTGGAATCATGTTTTGATGTAAAATTAAAGGCATCTAAATTAAAGTCTACTTGGTAAAAAAAAATAACACTGTTAAACAGTTACAAATAAATAAAATTTGAGGTGTAAAAATGGACAAAGGAAATCCAACAATTTGTACCAGCACAAACGTCCATGAGAGAGATAGACGCTCTAGAGATTAGCCTTCTGGGGGGCAAAAAAAAAATTACCTAATTTGTTTTGTGTGTGCTAAAGATTATTCGTATAAGGTTTTAGGAGTGAGCTAGTAGCACAAATGTGCATTCAAGGAGAGAGAAAGAGAGACGATCAGGAGGCTACCTTTTTTTGTAACAGAAAAATGAAAAATTGAGTGTGGGTACATTTTCTAAGACTAACTTAAAAGCAAGTTCACTGATAAAGTTTTTCCTCTATTAAGTTTACTTATACATAAATTTGTTGTTATTAGGTACACAATTCAATTTACATTTTTTTTGTATTACTTAATTACCCTTCCTTAAATAATACATAATTGATTGACAGTTTATTTCTTTTCAAATATGTAAAGATTTTATTTTATTTTATCATTCGTTTAAATTTTGAACATTTATTCTTACTGCTTGTTGCACATGTGTGTTGTACATGGGTCATTTTGAATTATAATTTTAGTTTTATATTTTTAACTTTGCTAAAATTATATAACAATTATGTTTATCAAATATATGCTTATGAATCAAGATATAGAATTACAATCTAACTTTTAACTAATGTTTTCAAAAGTATCAAACATAAACTTTGGAACATAGTAAAATAAAGCTACTAATAATAGCATATATAAGTTTTTGACATGTATGAAAACAGGAAATCTAAATAAGACTGCCCACACCTCTTGCATGGATAAAAATGACACAAATCCTTTAAGATTTCACATGAAAAACTACAAGAAACATGTATTAACGCATTTATATCTCCACTCAAGTCAACTTCAAGACACTCCAAGCTAAGCATATTGGAGTAGAGGGATATCTTTTTCAAGGATGTGAGTCATAGATATGATGATCCCAACATCTGTACCAAAAAAAATAAATAAATAAAATACATATATACTACTATAAAAAAAATAATTATCTCAACGAGGTCGAAGATGGGGAAGGTAGAAAGTTAAAATAACCAATGATGATTCCTTTCCCCTAGATCACTTTCACCTTTCTTTGGGAGTTTGGTTAATGAATTGATGCAAAATGAGAATAGATAAAGAGAGACACTTGTGAAAGAGAAAACAAAAGGTCACTGCTCGTAGGTTTTTAACGTGATTATGCGGAAAAAATTGATATTGTAATTATTCATTATGATATTAAAATCCTAGTAAACCAACAATCAAGCTTGTTTATCCAAAACTGAAATAGTAGCCAATAATAAAATAATTGTGACAATTATTATGATATACTAATGTTATTAATTACATAAAGGTAGGATACATAATAGTTAGTTTGTTAAAGTTATTTTGGCCTGACAAATGTTTTTCACTTTTGTTGATATTTAGAAGTAGAATAAATATAGATTCGTTCACTCTCTCTCTATTTTCTTTCTCTCTCCCTCTCTCCGTTCTTTCTCACGCTCTCCTTTCCTTATTTTTTCTCTCACTCTTCCATTGATAATTTATTTTTTTCAAATATATAAATATTTGATTTAATTTTTTCATTCGTTTGAATTTTGAACATTTATTCTTAAATCAATTCACAATATATTCTTCAACCAACGTTGTTATTTCTTATATTATCCAATTGTTGACTTTCTATTTTTGTTCTAAATTAGTTGAAGGTATTACGATACTGCTCTAAACATGGCTTTCTGATTCGGTTTCAAACGTTGCTTTCTCCAAGAGATACACCCAATAGATACAAGTTGCACTAGTTATTCATTGCACACAGTTATAACAAATAGATACACCTAATAAATGCATCAAAGAGATATACGTAATAGATGCACCAAAGAGATATACAGGGAAATTCAAAAAGAAACATTACAATGATACACTTAATTGATGCATAAAATTGATACAATAATGTGATATACAAAAGAGATATATCAAATCAATACAACCAAACAAAAACATCAAAATGATACCCATAATTGATGCATCAAATTGATACAAGAAAGTGATACACCAAAGAGATATATGAAACAGATACACCAATAAGGAATATAAAAAAAATAAAAAAAAATTATAATTTCAATCAAAAATGATCAAATCAAATCTTTACATATTTGAAAAGAAAATAACGGAGAGATAGGGAGAGAAAAAATCGGGGAAAGAAGTGAGAGAGTAATGGAGAGAGAGAGAAAATAAGGAGGGATTGTGATATAATTATTTCTAAAAGAATAATGCTCTTTG